CAGAGAGAGAGAGAGAGAGAGAGAAAGAGAGAGAGAGACAGAGAGATTGACAGAGAGACAGAGAGAGAGAGAGAGAAAGAAACAAGCAGCGGAACAGATGGTTTGTGGGATGGCCCAGGTGCAAGTAGAAGAACTACTCACTCAACTACTCACACGACAGTGCCCCGCTCTCTGGCATATTCATGGCTGCCTGGGGAAACCATCCACCGGCCGCGGAACTGGGACTGGCTGATCCTAGCCTTATCGGGTGGTTGCACTGAGGGAAGTTCATGAATGTATCCCCAAACAGGTGAACTCAGCGCTCGCGTTAAGCCACGCAACACATTTGATGCTTACGTAACTCGTAAGAAATTAATTATCTAAATATTTTAAACCTTACGCGATTCTTTGAGGAGAAAGTGGTAGGAGTATTCTAAGTATTTCACGTATTTTATAAAGCAGGTTATTAAAATTTGTGCTGTCGTGGCTAGAAAGGTGAGCAGAGTAAGTCTGATTCCCCGTTTGGACTTCTTTGTTGACATCGACCCCTTTGCGCTCATAAGACCTTATTATGCAGTTGCGAGCGCGTAAACCCTTCCTAAAACTAAAGTAAAAGCTGGTTACCGTATCAGCTTTGCGATGAGAAACAAAATTTTATTTGATTACAAGTTCAGTTTGCAGACAATTCCTGGAGTAATTTGAGAGATAATGCAATGTATTGTATGTGTGCATTTGATTTCTTTTTTTATACTGAAAGTGAACGCAGTTTCGCTAACTAGGAGAAGTATGCACTGGTTATGTTGACAAGGAACCAAATATTGGCAAACATATGTTCTCCTCTGTGATTCTGACTCTTAGATACTAATAGTCCTAGAATAATGTTAATTGAACAGTGTCTATTGAAAGAAGCAAATACTTCATAGACTCTTTTCGAAGGTACTATCGGAAACGGATAACACACTATACAAGATAACAAATTATCCAACTGTTTACCTGGATGATCAGTTATTGCCGAAGTCTGAGTGCGCGAGTGTTGGGACCAGCTAAACATGCACAGACCGTGAGTTATTTCAGCTGACTGACGACATGGAGTATAATTTGCGACTGTCGCCTCGTCCACGGTTCCCGGTACCATGAGGAACACCGTTTTTCACGGAATGTCCACTGTCAGCGTCACATAAGGTAATTACAAGTCTTTGTTGCTTTGTTTGCTTTGTTTGCTTTTTGATTTATTTTGATTTGCTTGTTTCCTGGTTTGTTTTGGCTAACCCAAGCGTCGTCTGCACTAATGGAAAACCTAGTTTGGTTTGGGTGGGGGGTTGGTTTTAGATACGCTTGGGCGGTTGTTGTATTTTTGAGCTGTTATTTTAGGCTCATAAAGCAACTGTTTTCAGGCGAGAGAAACAAACTCTTTGACTACATTGTGATGATCTTTTTATGATTTCTTTTTCTTCAAGATTTAAGATTTGATGAATTAAAACAACGTATTTCTCGAGGAAATAGGACTAATAACACGGATTAAAAAAACAACACCTCGACCCCTAAAACACACACACATACAAATACACACACATACACACACATACAACACACACAAACACTCATACACACAAACACACACACTCACACACATACACTCATGCACACACCCACAGGCACAAACACATACACAGACACACACACACACACACACACACACACACTCACACTCACACACACACACACACACACACACACACACACACATGCCTGTGCTCAGTTCGCTTGAGCAGCTTTCTTACCCTATGTTTATTTCAGAAACACTAAGTTATTTTTTTTTAAATAAGTAGTTTTTACGCCGTTATCAACATAATTTGGATCGACGTACGTGTCGGATGAAGTAACCGAAATAATAGTACAGAACACAAAATCAACAAACAAAAAACCAGGTGGGTATTTTGTCATTACAAGCAAGGCAAACGAACAAGGTTTGAAATGGTGCCAATAACACCATATTGAGCCCCAGAAGTGACGAGTGCCTGATTCCACTGCATCCTGCCATCTCAACACGATAATATTATATTTGTGAAAGTCCGTCACTTTTGGCTGCCTTAAACTTCCGAACCACATAACTTTCAAATTTGACCAAATTAATGGTGGTGCAAATCATTTAAAGGCTGCACAGTTTAATTGAGGAGCCAGACGTCATTGTAGTTACATTTTGAGTTTTTCTTTAGTTTCGTTTAGATCTATTCTTGGGGGAAAGTCCGACTTCTAAAGCGCCATTGTAAACTATTGAGGTTTCCGTTCACTAGCCGTGCGCACTGTTGTATGGAGAGTTTGGAATCAAGGCCTCCAAGGCCTCCTAATTTTTTGCATCTCTCAAGATTTATTGCTCCATTCCAGTATTAGCGTGTAAATATTATAGTAGGCCAATGACTTTAAGTTGATGTTAATGCACCGATCATTCCTTTCATTGAAAGGGGGACCAGCTAGTAATATTATATACTATTTCGAAATATGCTAGGCCCCATGAGGACTTCCGGGTCAAATGTAATGAAGCCAAGCAGAATAATGTCAGTTTGTTATAGAGTACATTCACTGGCCAACGCTAGTTCCCAGCCCGCGACAAACAGGTCTCATCACACTATTGTGACACCGGCCTTCCGTTCTGTGGGCAACTTAGTCGTGGGGGCTTTCGTGGCCTAGAGGTTAAGGTGTTCGCCTCTCATTCAAATGTCCCGGGTTCGAATCCTGAGAGCGACGAAAACATTTTCTTCTCTAAAAGTGTCTCCTTTCACCTCCTTTCCTTCTCTCTAGCAGTGTTCTGTCGTCTGCTTTCGTCTCCACTTTCTGCCAACACCCCTTCACCTCCTTTGCCCCCTCCTCTGGGATTCTGACTCTTTCTGCAGGTTTTCAACTGCTATTCATTGGCTCCTTCTTACTGCTGTATTTCAGCCACACCCTGACCTTATGTTAGGAAATATATACACCTAGCCTTCTCGAACAAGAGCAAAAAACTCGGAGGTCCCCTGTGCAAGTTGCGCACGTTAAAGATCGCTTGGTGGTCTAAAATCGATAAGAGTAGGCTTCG